TATCAAAAATAAAAAATATCTTTGAGAACGTCTGTTTTTTGGGTTGGCAAAGGGATCAGCGGAAAGAGTTTTTTTTTATACTAATAGCATATATAATTAGTTAATTGATTAAAGTTAAATAATCCAATATTAAAGTTATAATTTAAAAATATTATTTTTTTTGTGATTTAATATTTTGTTTTAATATATAAAATACTTGAAAAGTATATTAAAAATTAAGCTGGTATAAGACTTTTAACTGTATTATTTCAATATTACTTTAATGCCAATTTGATACTTAAATTTACTATAAATTTATATAAATGAGTTACAACTTATATATTAATTTTACTATAGATCAGTATTATTTCAATATTATTTTAATACCAGTTTGATACTTTTCAGAGCCCTAGATTGACATCTTAAAAAAAAAAAAACATCTTATTCAATTTAACAAAAATTCAAAAAGTTTATTTATTTATTTTAAAAATAGTTGAAGAAAAGAATCTTGAAATAACTATTAGTTAAAAGAAATAATAATTTCAAAATATTATAGCTTGGAAGAGAAATTATTAATAGAAATTAACATTCTTTCTAATTAAAATCTTCAAGTATAAAATTTTAAAAAATTAAATAATATAGCTAATTACAGATAATAAAAATAGTTTAGAAATATTAACTATTAGATTAACTTTTTCAAATTATTTTTTGACTGTATTTAATGTAATTTTAGTATTTTTTTCAAATTTCTCAAAAATGTGCTGTTAGAATACATGTAATAACTCCAAAAAATGTTTTAAATCTTAATTCTTTTTCTTAAACAAACAATTTTTCTCTTTTTTCAACTTTTTCCAGAAACCTTAATTGGTTGTAAACAGGGACATTGGGCTTGGTAAACTTGTACAATGATTTCAATATTTCTTTAATCTTTTGGTTTTCAATATTTAACAAGTATGTGGTGCTAGCACAGTTAAATAGAATAAAAAAGTAATTCAAAATGTCCTATAAATAATAGACATCATCCTAATCAAATTAGTCAACGTCAAAAAATTAAAGTTTATATACGACTTGAAATTCCAGTTAGCGTGCTGCACCTGATCGCCCATTTTTCCAAGTTATTGTGCTACCATTTTTTCCAAATTTTATATTTTACCATTGTTTCCTTGATTGCATTAGTTTATTTTAACGAGTACGTACATACAGTACATACGTACGTATACTTTGATCGCGAAAATAAAGATTATCCCGTAAATCATGACCAATTAAATTGCATTTAAACAGATAGTTGCAAATTTATCTTTAAACCAATTTCTTTACTTCCAAAAAAATTTTTAATAATGGACTTTCAAATGAATAACGAAGATCCAAGCAAATGGTCAGTTGGTGAGGTGTGCGAATGGATTCAAACGTTGGGAGTTCGACCTTACGTCGTGAGTCGATTTCGGGAGGCTGAAATAGACGGCCAAAAATTGATGAATAACTACATTAACTATAATTTTCTGAAGGATCATATGAATATCGAGAACTATTATGACCAATTCAACATAGTGATGTCGATAGCTTTACTCCATAGAAATGGTATCAATTTCATTTTTCACCATATATTTCTTAAAAAACGCGAAGCTAACGTTTTAAAATAATTTTTAGATGAACAAACCATTGTTCCTCTAATCTTTCCTCCAATGGAACTTCCATCGATACGAGAACATAGTGAATGGCCTTATACTACAAAAACCACAGAGGTTAGCGGAGAAGAATTGACAGTAGACGAAGAAGATCTTGAGGAGGAAGACTTGGATGAAGAAGATTGTTTAACTTCTGAGGATGAAGAGATG